CCTCACTGGGAAAGTTTCCACGAGATGTCAAAGGATTCACGGGGGAAGCGTGGGGGAACTGCTGCGTAGTTCTGGGAGAAAGCTTGTCGACTGTCCCCACACATGTTCAGACTGTCAGCCGCCTCGCTGGCGTCTCTTGTTATTATTTTTTTTCCCGCCTTCATTCTGCTGCCTTTTATTCGCAGCTCCATGAATAATTTGTGTCTCCGCCTTGTTGCTCGATGACAGCTGTGCAGTTGGTTTTGCAGTCTGTTTTTCAGATCAGGTGAATAATGAATAAGCCGGTGCAACAAAAGAGCTGTGGCCTATATGAGCCGTGCCTCTCGTCGGCCTGACGTGTCGACCGCAGGGGAGGAGATAGGTGAGCACGAAAGTCTCTCTCATGCAGAAAGTTTCCTAAACACAGAGCAGATTAAAATAGTTTCATTTCATTTGCGTACATTTTCGCAGAGCTTCTTAACATCATTTCCTGTATGGACCATATGAATCAGTGCTTTTTCTCTGAAGCTCACTGCTAGAAATCCTGTATCTCTTTCAGGCTGTCGGTTTTCTGACTCGCCAAACCTGTGTGGAATCTGCTGAATAGTCCGTGAGAGCAAGTACCACATTATTATTACTCTATACACAGCATGTCAGCTCTGCCTCAGGGCGATAATCCTATTTGTTTTCTCTTCATCTGCACCCCCCCTTGTCTGCTTTGTCATGAAGAGGACTTCCATCTGATCATTCATCAGATGATGCTGATTCTCAGTACCGAAGCGTGGGAATGAATTTAGCCTTTTTCTATCTAATCTGTGAGGTTTTCAGTGAGATTATGTACTGACAAAATTGATATCATTCTTCAAAATCAGAGGTCTGGTTTCAAAAGCCGTTGCTGCCCTCAGACTATGTTCTAACCACTTACTGACAATTTGTAAGTCTTATATCAAGGGTTTAATTTTTTCGCAATCAAAGAAATTGCCAGGAAAAGGTTACGCAGAGTTTTTGGTAAATGGTCTGTATTTATTTAGACCTTTTCTAGTCATGATTACCAGTCAAAGCACTTTACACCCACTCACACATACATTCATTCAGTGCATCTATGTGCAGCATTTTCTATATCATACCTCACTCACACTGCAGCTGCAGTCACCCGGGTCATTTGGGCTTCCGTTTTTTTGCAGTGGGGGGCGACTGGGACGGAACCCCCGACCTTAGTTAATGGACAGCTCTATCTTCTGAACCACAGCAGCTCAAATAGTGACTAAATCCAATGATAGATGTTCTTGATGAACTCCAGATTTGATAGTTTGTTTAATCTGGAAAAGATTCCAAAAGAAAAAAATCAAAACACCAAATTACGTCTGTAAACCCCTCCTCTATAATTCATGTTTAATTTTGGATTAATAATGAATCATCCAAAACCACCACACTGAACTTTCTAATTGCACAACTGTGTCTGTCAGGGAGAATTAATCCAGTCTTACCTCTGTGTGTGCAGTATGCACGCGTGGTTGAAGTGTGCACTTTCTAGACCGAGATGCAGGCCTGGATTTGAGCCTCAGACTGCAGTGCTCTGATTACTCGCCTCCTCTTTATCGATCCAGCCGGATTCTATTCATATTTGATATGCCTCGGGGCAGCAGGGTAATGCTTTAAAAAAGAAAATCCAGCCCAGCCCTTGGAGGAAATCTGGTCAGCCTAATGGCCTTTTGAAGAATTTGTTTATGCTGGAGCAGCTTCTCTCTCTCTCTGAGATTGTGCTTGAAGATCTCATCTCAGAGGAGGAAAAAAATCCCTCACAGATGATTTGGTTTATGAATCACAACCCGCTTTTTGTACTTAGTATATATAATATGTCAAAAGTGTGTGACAAAGTTCAGTCAGCGTGTGGCTGCTCTGTGAGGCAGAGACTTGTCACACCTGAGAAATAAACCATCCTACCCTTCAAAGAGCTGTGGCCAGGCTGGCAGCTCAGTGCTTCCTCACAGTGTTAGAGACCAACTCACCACATCCAGCATCACTGAGAGATTCTCCTTTTTCATTTGCCTCAGTCATTAATCTGACACTTAGACCCAAACTTTTTCCAAGGGATGTCATTGTAATAACATTGTTGAGATCTTAAATAAACTAATGATATTTCTTTAAGTTACTAAAGTGACAAACCTAAAATATCCTAATAATATCTTTGCTAATGCAGGTGAATCAATGACATTTTCCATTCATCTAATGGCAGTGGTCTGTATGCAACCCTGCCAGGATGCGTTGTTATTAGAGGAGCAGTTATTTCAGTTACAACACTGCTATACTGTGGTTAAATCAAGTGCTGGCATGCTGATTTTTTTTTAAGGTTGTTCTGAAAAAAAATGACCATAATGCACTGAAACGATATTATACTAAGATATTACAATTATTATTTTAATTTTAAAATCATTATTAATGGAGAAATTCTACATTTGTGAGTCTCTCTCCCATCTTGCCTGTGATTCGCAAGGCATTCTGGGAAATTATCATATCCCTCAGTTTGAAGTGTCGGTCTGAAAAATGGAGGACTGCACAGCCCAAACATTTGGCCCTACCCTTCCATCCCAAACAAGAATCAGGACACACTACGCTTACACATGAACGTGAAAAACGGAGAGGAAGGGCTAAGGGGTAGGGAGAAGGGGTGAAATGGGATTGGGCCTCAGTCATTGAGTCTATGATCTGCAGATATGGACCATTTGTCAGTTGCTCTCTATGTGTCATTGTCTTTGAGCTAATGTTAATGCACATTTATAAAATCACACACACCAACAACACACACACACACACAGACTCTGAATGCATCTGCACACTTGTCCACATCACATACACACGTTTTTTGCTTTTGTATTGATATTAGTGTAGATTTTTGGTTTTTATCGGGCTGTACAAGTTATTGTTAAATAGTTGGCTCTCATGGGTTGTCATGTTATTTTCTGCACATCTTTAACTTTATCTGATTTTGTGAATTTTAAATGATATGGTGGGGTTTCAGCCTCCCCCTGCACTGTTTATGATCATTTGCCTTTTTTTCATTTTTTTATCCGTGCTAAATAAAAATCCAAAACACAAAGAAATTCCTGTTACATGAGTGGCTCTGTTAAAGCTGCACTGCTTTTTTTCTTAACAGCTAATTTGGGAAAGTGGGGCTGTTGCCGATGACGTTTTTATTTCCGTTTAAAGAGAGTAAATGACGTGACTGACTCTGGGCCCTGTCGAGCCATTGTGCACTGCTCCAGTGAAGCTTCGCTGTAAATGAGCTTCCCTCTTCCTGTTCCCCGCCGTCACTTTATCCTGGGGTTTAAAATATTCAGTATTTTTGCAGGCCGGGATGTTGTACGATTTAGAGAGGAAGTGAGGCAGAGAAAATCCTTGTGAGTCAGTGATTTCAATCAATGTTGAGGGAAGAAAACTAACTGATTGTTTCTCTCTCGTTGGCATTACAGAAGAATTAAGAGGACACTTTAACTTTAGCATCAACGTGATGGAGAAATACATTTCTCATGAGTTAATGTTGTCATGTTTATGGTTTATTGTCATCTGATACTGACTGAATGGAAGTCACATCCACACCTATTTGTATATACATATATATATATATATATATACTGTGTCCACAACAAGGACACCTATATTAATGTGTTTCTTTAATTTGCTGTAACTATATTTATTGACAGTATAGCAATAGCATTTCTTGTGACCTGATGGTTAAAAACTACACATTCTGATGTCCTGTAATCCACCCAAAGATTTCTGTTTTTAAATGAATATCTCATGACATTAAAGGCAAGTTCATTTGTAAAGCACATATTTGTTTTTACATAAAATATAAAAGGTGTCATGACAAATGTAAAAGCAAGATAAAACAAAAAATAAACATTTAAAAAGAAATTGAAAGCTTAACTTACAGAGAATGAAAAATGGATAGATAAAATTAGAAATAAAAGAGTGAAAGTGCAGTGTAAGAATTAAAATTGGTTGATTTTCCAAACAGGAGGGTTTACAGCATTGATTTCAAAGAACTGAGATCCGTGGGAGCTTCTCCACAAATGTGAAGTGAAACTGATGCTGCTTCTTCATGTCTAGTTTTAACTGTGGCGACAGAGAGCAGGCCTGTTCCAGATAATGTAATGTAACAGGAGGTCAGAAATATATTTTGGCCCTAAACCATTCAGTGCTCTATAAACCAACAGCAGGATTTAATTCTTTGACAGACAGGGAGCCATGTGTAAAGATCTCAGAACTGGACTGATGGAGTGATATGATCCAATCAAGTCAAGTCGGCTTAAGATAAATACATGGACAAGTTTTCTTCAAATCCTGCTGAGACATAAATCCTTAAATCCTTGATATGTTCTTAAGGTGGTAGTAAGCTAACGTTGTAATGTGTTGGCTGTTAAAGTTCAGGTTTTGGATGACAACAATATTTCTGGCTTGGTTTTTAACTTCACAGGTTCAAGCTGAGTGCTGCAAAGAGGATCACAGCTGCTGTATGTGGAGCCTCTCTGCCAGTTTTCTGCCAAAAGTCGTTGCTGTTTTCTTTTCCTTTTAAAACAGCCATGAGGGTTTAAGTGTTTTGTTAACGATTAAATCAGCTCACACTGTTTAAGGTCCAAACACAGGGCTGCAGTGGGCAAAACAAACAGTTGCCTCTGGGCAGCCACAATCACAGCAGCAGGGCGGTGAAGTGTCCCGGCCCTTTGGTTTCCACACAAACACCATGAAAACAAAACACCTTACCACAGCTTGTAGATTTTTACTTTGTGGGTGGAAGATTAAATCTAAGCAAATTATGAATCAATTAATTCATATCATTAAACATTTAGATAATTGGACATTTAACAGTTTAAATTTGAAAAGAAAATCACACTTGCTGGGGCAAACTGTGATGCTTTTATTTTGTAAATGACCAATCATTTATTCTGAATGAAATTGTGCAAAAATGAAAATAAATGAAAATAAAATTAGAGATATATAAGGGCAGTAACCTTCCTGTTTATAAAATCCCACAGTGTGAGGAGGCTGTTTTGCCCGCATTTGTCCCAAGCGAGAGAAAAAAATCCCTCTGTGCTTTGGAGAAGCGCAGATTTCACCTCTCCTCTTCTTGGTGTCTTCATTAAGGTGTGGAGACTTAATGTGATTCCAATATCAAACACATCATACATTATGGGTTTTTATTCATCGTGTGACAGTCACAGCTTTTCTCTGGGCCTGGCAGCAGCCTGAAGTTTAGTGTTGCTTATGTCTTCACACTAAAAACCCCTGTTTGTTTATTTGATGTTTTCTTTGATATAATAAATAGAAAAAAAAATTAAATATATTCTCATTGTAATTTTCACATTTAAGGATTTTAATAAAGGATCATGGTGATCCTTAATCCAAGCAATGTCCTCAAACAGAGCCATTTGGGATTTAAATGTCTTTGCGTAAAATGTCTCTCTGCGTAAAATGTCTTTCTGTGTGTTGTCAGACCATGACAGGACAAAGTGTCTCCTTCACTTCAGTCCGTGCTGCGTCTCCTTGTGTCTCCTCAGGTCCACCTTCCTCTGGAAACCTTTGCCGCACAGGTCGCAGCCGAACGGTTTGTAGCCCGTGTGTTTCCTGCTGTGCGTAATGAGGTTGGAGCTCTGGCTGAACGCTTTCCCACACACCTGACATTTGTGCGGCTTCTCGCCTGAGTAGAGAACACACACGAACACACACACAGTTAGTAAACTTCTCACTTCTTTCAGATTTTTTTACGGATTTGTTTTTCTTCCACTCACCTGTGTGGATGAACGTGTGCTTCTTCATGTCGGACTTCTGGTGGAACCTCTTGCCGCAGTACTGACACGGGTACGGCCGCGTGTCGGTGTGGATGAGCAGGTGCGTGGACAGAGTGGACGACCTCTTAAAGCTCTTGCCGCAGATTTTACAGTCGAAGCTTCTCTCCTGATAAAAGTAAAGTTAGAAACATGATGCGAGATTTGAAACGTGATACCGACGCAGCGACCTTCCTGACAGGAAGAAGAGAGATCAAATGTGGGCGCAGAGGGTGGGTGGCTACCTGAGAATGCACGGCTTTGTGCTGCTCCAGGCTCACTGCGTGCCCGAAGGTTTTGCCGCACAGTTCGCACGCAAACGGTCTGGTGCCGCTGTGCGACCTCCGGACGTGGACTTCTAGACCGTGCGGAGTGGAAAACACCTGGAGGACAAAAAAGTTAAAGGATCGTTTTATTTGCTGCTTTATTGGATACGCAACACAGTGCAGCGCAACCCGGGCCGCCCCATGCTCACCTTACTGCACTTGACGCACTTGTAGGCACCGTTCAGGATGAGGCTGGGACACAGCAGCTCAGACGGGGGCTTGGCACCGTGCGCTTTTCCGTGTAAGCCTCCGTCAGGAAACAGCAGCGCGGCGGCTGCGGCAGCGGCGGCGGCGTGTCTCCTGTATTCACCGTACGACTCCTCACCCAGGACCCGCTCCGAGTACAGCCCCGAGTGCGCACCCGGATCCCCGTAGAAGGCAATCGCCGCCGCGCCCCTGTCCAACTCCAGGCCGGGTCGGTGGTGGGGATTCTGCTGCATCAAGGGCCTCAGCCCGGGCCCCTGGTAGCTGCTCCAGGCGTACGGCCGGAAAGGCACGGTGAAGGGCTGGGTCTCGTCCACAAGGGGGGAGAGAGATTTGTCCGAGTCCACTGAAAAGGGAAGGATGGAGGGGACAGGGGGGTCGGGGTGAGCATTAAAATTGAATGAAAGCATTGACATGGCTAAAGGGAGGGGGCCATTTCCAGGGCCCCACAGGACGAGGCTGATGTGCGCGATGTCATACAATGTCCTCTCCCAGAATCCCCAGGTGAGGGTTGAAGAAACCAAGGAACAGCACATGATTAATAGAGGAGATGTGCAGACCAGTGAGCACCGGGACATTTGACTGAACGTTTTATATATAAACAAGTGGACTGCTGTGATATTACATAAGCAATTGGTTCATTAGTTATAGAGGGGCAACATCTATAGGTAAACTGTGTACAGTCATCTCACCCTTATATTCTGTTGTATTATTCTCACAGAAGTATTATCATGCAATGGTTAATGTGCAATCAATTCAACATCTCACACTGCACATATAGTTTCCCAGTTTAATACAGTGTATTCTTCATATTTGTATTATCCTTGTAATATTGCAAATGTCTCCATTGTGGGATTAATAAAGGATTATAAGATAATATTATTTATCATATTTATATGCAAAAAATAATAATATTCTTAATCTTATTAATCCAAAGATAATAGCAGAATAATAATAATAACAACAGAATAACAGTATTCTTACATGGACCTTCAGAACTAACATAGAGAGGTGATCGCCTTGTTTCTCTGCTGCAGGCTGCATCAGTGCAGCAGGGTAGCAGTGCTGTGTGTCGGTACCTGGCGATGCAGAGGGAGACGGGGGCCTCCAGAAGTCTTCGTAGTCCGGGGAGGGACCGCACAGACTGCCGGAGCAGCTCAGCGGGGACTTGGGGCAGAAGTCGGCGGCGTCGGCCAGGGGGGAGTCCGGAGAGAGCCCGTAACTGTCCACCGTCATGTCGGTGTCACCGGGGAGTTTATCCGCCTCTGAGAAGACCCACAGCGGAGAGTCAGGCACGGAAGTAAAGCCATGTTTTTATTTTATTTAACTCTGTTTAAAAATGCATTCATATAATGGCATCAACGTTACAATTATCGCTCGAAACCAATGAGCTCATTCGATGTGGAAAATGACGCAAAGGTTAATCATCAACTTATATTTAGAAATAACCTATAATCAGAAATAACCTGTAATTAGATCATAGAAAAACGACGGTGATCAAATAGAAAATAAGAAATATGAACAATTATTACGTTTTTTCGTTTGTAGAAAATCTCTTTGCCAACTATGTAAACACGAGTTTTCCATCTTCATTTTGTTCAGTAAAATAATTAGATATTCGACAATTTTAAGAAAATATATTTATTTAACAGCCTATATAAGGCCTGTATAAAAAACTGTCATCGAGCGCTTGATAAAAACAGACAATTTACCATTTATGAATAAACTGAAGCTTTCCACTCCTGCGAGATTCTAAATAAACTTTTCACCTTAATAATTATCCTGTAAAATATTTGCAATTGGTTTTTTTTTAAATAAAAACGTATTTTCGTCATAACAAATGTTAAAATAAAATAACTTTTAGGATGACTTGAAGGCAGACACGACAGTGCACATACCTGAGCATATATGCGCCAGGATGGAGTCCAGCCTGCTGTAGTCGTCCTCTAAGGAGCGGGGCTGGTGGTAACTGTGCGCCCTCTTACTCTTCACCAAGAAGGAGCGAGGCATCTCGGATGTGACTGATGTGATGATGAGGTTCCAGCCGCAGAGAGGACTCCCGTCACTGCGCCCGCCGCTGCTCGCTCTCAACTCTGCTCACACTTGATCTGGGCTCCGCTGCTGCTGCTGCTGCCGGGGGTATGTGGGCGGGGGG